AAAAAAATGAGAAGGAATATGATGAATCAAGAGAAGGTGACATACATGTTCATCCATGAACACCATTTCAATGGAATTTGTAGTCCTCTCATCATTATAAGCGGGTAAGGTATACAATCGTACGACACGAACCATGATCCTCCAACATTCACTGCTTGGAGTGATCTTCGACAGTGGATGGATGGTCATTGTCACGGATTGAACGAAAAAAACAAAAAGGAATATGAATCTCAGAATCTCAGAAAATAGTATGCGTAAGTCAGGAATTCTGGGTTGTTCTTGAGGAGAATGTATATATAGATAGAATTTTAGGAAGAAAAAATACATCTATTAATAGAATATAAATTAGGTATATGATTTCTCAAATCTAATTAGGGTATACGATTATGAATTAGGAATGAATTACGATTTTAATTCTTTCAATCAATTGAAGAAAGCAGATTGCTATATATGAACCCTAATTTCGGGTAAAAATTAGGGAAAAGTTGGGGTAGCGAAGAAGAAAATGGAAAGGCGTAGCGGAGTACCTGTGATTTCTTTCCATCGGTGACCCAAGGCAGCGAGAACTCAAGGCAGCGAGAAAATTTGTTTCCTTTTCAGCATGAAGATTTCCAAGATTTTTCCTTCTTTCTGCGCGAAGGAGTTGTGGGAGAAAGAACGGGCCGGGTACTGGAAGGACGAAGGAGAGCTTCGCCAATAATGAGACGCGTGTAATCCGATGTGTCGTCAAAATAAGAGCCCTTACTTGCCACGTGTCAGAATTCTAGGCTATCAACTCTCAAATATTATATTAAAGGAAGGATAAGATATATATTTATATATATATATATATATATATATATATATATATAATAGGAAGGATAGGATAGGATAGGATATAGGATAGGATACGATACGATAGGATTTTAGCCATATCGATGCTTACAGATTCCCTATCTTTTGTCTTCTCCGGTATATTAAGCAACGTACTAGTTCAAGCCTCACATATATTTTTCTCAATATGCATTACATTGAGAACATGCCTTATTGGCAAAATTTTCTTATATTCCATTTAAAAAATATACATCTTCTTCCAAGTAGGTCAGATGTCTCCTTTTTTTAGACGTGTCTTCCCGTAGACATGGTCACTTAAAGACTGCACACGTAAATATACCTCTTCCCAAGCCAATGGGATAGGAGCTGTATTCTTTTCCACGGTGTTATCAAAGGCTGATTTTTGCCTTCGGTAAGGATGTTGGCGTGGCATCCACCTGCAATGCTTCATAACTACCATCTTACGGTAATTACGCAGCCTGATATATAGCATTTGTTTTTTCACCTCAAACAATACATGAATTATAGCCTTCACAACGTTGCGTGACAAATTACCCACTGCGGGATAATCACTAATGGTCCACAACAAAACTGCCCTCAATGTGAACAAATCTTTTCCGTACACATCATAGACTTGTACACCAAACCACAAGCTTTGAAGATTTTTAGTTACCATCTAAAGATAGACATCAAAGTTGTTTCTGGGCAGGTCCTGATATCAACATGCTTAAGATTATAATGTTAAAGACATCGTACGGTCTAAAACAAATTAAAAATTTATAAAACTCCTTAGCTAACCTCCAAGATATAATCAAATAAAAACTATAACTAGGGCAAGTAAAGGTCGATCCCACGAAGAAAGTTTGTAGTTTTTGAAATCAGATAAGCATGCACACACATTGTCACCAAATAAAACAAAACTAACTACTACACATATGATAACATTTATAAAACTTATAACTAAATAAGTATAAGAACTTATAAATAGAACTTAAATTATATAAATGAAGAACTTAAAATGTAACTTAAAAACATAAAACACACACTTAAGTATTTAAAAGTATAAAAACATTTATCTAACTTACAAATAAACACTTATTTATAACTTAGTAAATAAAGCGTATACTATAACTTAAACCACGAAAGGAGGGGGGTTTGATGAAAAATGAATATTTTTTGGTTTTTCTAAATATTCTTTTTTTTTGTTTTTTTTTGATAAAATGGGGGAAAACAAGCTCTTAAGATAATCAGCTTCTCCAACTAAGGTAACCCAAGAAACACTGTCAAGAACCCGAAACAAAATGAAAAAGAGAACAAACACAATTCGAACATTACACATATAATAGACAAGTAGACAATATATTGCTTAACTTTCGCACTTAAGAATAGAAAATTCAAGGCCCAAGTAGAATCATATCCTTGACCACATATAGAGGATCGTCAACTCTCTTTAGGAGGAGTCTAAGGACTCGTGGAGCTTCAATATGAACGGTGGAGATTGAATTCCAACGGTTCAATATTGATTTATGAGCTTTGAATCTGCCTGCATATTTTTGTAGAGAAAGGCAGAATCATTGTTTGGAGGTGTACTAGAATCTACGTCCTTGAAGAAGATCTTTGAGAAGGTGTAACAAACCGTTGAGATATATGGAAACAGAGTTTGTCGTCAAGTCATTCGGTAGTAGACAAATCAATACATTTGAATGTTCTTTTGTGATTTGTTGTGTAATTCTTACAGTGATTTAGTGGAAGGGTGGTAACACGAACGTGGGCCCCACAAACGTAGGAGAGTTGCTCCAAATTGCGTAAACAATTCTCGTGTACCGCTTACTGCTCACACTTTATATTCTGCGTGTGTGCTTGAGACAGAGAAGATATTATAGGACTTTGTCAACCATCTGTTACTGTGACAATGCTGCAGTATCTTCTCTACAGCATAGTTGTTTGATGTGTTTGCGTAGCTTTCAATTGGTGATTTCTGCTGCATCTCCACGAACTTATAGGGGCAAAAGATAAGGCTTTAGAAGAGGTGCAACAAACAAAAAATTGATTATGGCATAAGGAGGAAAATGCTAATCGATTTTTCCCAAAAGTGAATAATTGATTTTTAATGCCTAGGCAAAACCCTTTTGGGTATGAGATGAAATATCAGTTTTTGACAAAGTGGGATAATTGATTTTTAACGTGAATAATGCACAACAACATGAAAATAGCCATGTGCGAGGAGATGGAGGATTTTTATCAAAATCCTTTTGTTCCCAACAAAAAGGAGAGTATATAAGGCTCCCAATCATCATCAAAGTAATTCAAATAGTTCGAATGAAGGATTGATAGTATGGGTGAGGAAACGAGACTCAAAAATATTTTATGTGTCAAATGATGTACAAGAAAAATATTTTAAAAGATATTTTTCTTACCCAAAAAGAATGTTTATACAAAAAATGTTTAAGGAAAATCTTGACACACATTTTGTAATTGACTTAAAAGAAATATCTGTGGACAGGGAAAATTTTATTTTTCAAATGACTCAATTTTTTTTATTTGTTACCCTAAAAACGTTGGTTATTTGGAAGTGTCATAAATTAATGAAAAAATAAAAGTTTTAAGCAGAAGCAATAACAAATAGTTCTAAAGTATATTTTAGACTCAGAAGTGATAATTTATAAGAATAAATAGATTGACAAATTACTTTGTAATAAAGAAAAAGCTTAAATATGGTTTTTAGGATCTGTTTTTTCGATTGGAAACACAGAGTTGAATATTGGAAGAAACTGTAAAAAGTTAGAAGAAATAGGAAGAAGTTGGAAAAAAACTAGAAGGAGTTGGAAGAAACTAAGAGTTAGAAGAAAATAGAAGAAGTTGAAAAAAAAAGACTAAAAGGAGTTGGAAGAAACTGGAAGAAGTTAGAAACGCTAGGAGTTTGAAGAAAGTGAAAGAGTTGGAAAGTTTTTAAAAAAAATATTAAAATAAATATTATATTTTATAAATTTCATATTTTATTTAAAAAATGTATACTCTACTTTTTTAATTTTTATTCTCTTTTTATTTTTTCTTTTACATCATTATATTTTATCCAAATTCGTATTTGTAATTTTTTTGAGACCCATACTCTTTCATTACTTTTTAAAATCAATATCAATCATATAATTTTTCGCTGTTCAGTTGTATGTCACTAATCATGTAGCAGAAATAAAAAGAGAAATAATGAGTCATTACTTTTTGTATATCTAAGTTGAAAAAAATGGATTTAAATAATATAAAGGAGGGAAAAAGATAAAAATGCATAAAAAATGGTGCAAATTTATTCGAATTTGGTTAGGAGTCAGTGCGTGCAAGGGTTTGAGTAATTTTTATTTCTAAAGAATTCATATTCTTATATTTATTAGGAAAAATTGCTATTCTAAAATAATGAGGGAAAAATAAAAATAGGCATAAACAAGATTAATTTTACACAATTACTTTTTTTCCATATTAAATTGACGTGTGAACATTTTTTAGCATATGCTTAGAGCATCTTTAGTGGGAGGAGTTTAAGAGACATATTTTGTATCTTAAATGGTCCAAGGCCACATCATCTAAGACTTCATAAGCAAGTTACATATATTTTGCTCTAATGATAATGCAAACAACACACAATTCCAATGAACAATATTACTAAAGACACTCATTGATGTTAACTATATTAGTTGTTATTATAAAAGTATTTATACCGAGTATATGTTTAGGATATGGTTGCTTACAGAAGCAACTGTTCTAATTTGTAAGCAATCATCTCTAATGAAAACTTATCATAAAATATAGTTGTTTAATAAGTTAAGCAACTTTTCAAGCACCTACCATTAAAATGTTTCTTCACTTGATCTGATTAGTTCTGATATGATTTGAATATAGTTATATTTAAAACTATTTTTGATTTGATCTGATCTGTTGTCATTCCAATAAGAATAAGTAATAAGTAAAAAATGTAAGTTGGGAAGAACATGACTTTACACATTAAAATTATTACTCGTTTGTACACATTTAAAAGTCATGCAATGTTTACTGAAAAAAATAGCGTGCACAATTATTTTGGTCAAAATTTTAAAACATTGATAAGAACACGAAACATAGTAAACAAAAATTCCAAAATCACAAAGAAAATTATAAATTATTTAATTTAAAGTTTAATAATTTTTGTGACTCTACAATCTTAACTAAAATATACGGAGTATATTCATGACACATTTTTTAAATAAACAATGACAATAAATCAATTTTTATTCTATTGATATATTAATAAGAAGAATAAATCTAGGGGTACACAAAAAATGAATAATCTATTTGTACACCAGACAAATACAGAAACTTAGTGTCTGTGGTCATAAACATTTAGTGTCTGTGTTTGTCTGGTGTATAAATGAGGTACCTCATTTTGGTGTACCCTTACCATGACTCTAATAAGAATAATATATAGAGATAAATCTAAATAATTTTTTAAAGTCATTATTGAAAACGAGTTGAAAAAATTTAAAAGTTATGAAAAAAGTAGGAAAAACTGAAAAAAACGAGTGGGAGAAAAATGTTGAAACTCTAGAAATAGGCACATTAGCTTCCAAAATGTTCAGACTCCAGCCGTGCGATTAATCCCACACAGGCACATCAACGGTAGAGTGGTAGACACGAGACTAGACACCGGCTGGAAAATATTAGGCGCGATATCTGCTGGTTTTGCATGGAGTAGACGAATACTCCGTAGTATAGGTTGCTGCTTGGCTTCTCTCTCTCTCTCTCTCGATCTCGACAGCAGGTTAACTTAAAGGGAATAATGGCTTCAAACCGATCGAGCAATGGAAGATCGCCACTAGTCAATCAACAGCGGCAAATCACAGCTTTTTTTGCCAAGAAAACATCTTCCACCCCTTCATCTTCTCCCTCCCCTTCACCTTCCTCTCTCTGCCCCAAAGTTAACAGTACAACCCCAAACCCTAACTCTCTCACCTTCTCCAACCCATCTGATTCCAGCCCACCCACGAAGTCCCCCCTGGATTCCAAGTTGAGTAAATCTCTCTTAGTCACCGGACAGCCTCCAGTTCCCGATTCTACTAAGACTTCATACCAACGAGAGGTTCTCAACCGGAGGATTAGGGTTTATTGGCCCTTGGACAAGTGTTGGTATGAAGGATGTGTAAAATCTTTTGATGAGATTTCGGGGAAACATTTGGTTCAATATGATGATGATGATGAGGAGACGCTGGACCTTTCCCAGGAAAGGATTGAGTGGATTGAGACTCCAGTCGTTAAGAAGTATCGCCGATTGCGGCGGCTTGGAGTGGCTGAGGACAATGAGGAAGAAAAGTGGGATGTTATTGGGAATGTTGGAAATGACTTTCATGATGCAGAGTGGGAAAATAGTGTTAGTAAAGAAGCAGACGGGGATAAAGATTGCATAAGTGATATGGATTTAGAAGCCTGGGAGGAAGATAATAATGATATAGGGTTAAGAATAGGATGTCCAGATCTGGTCAAGAAGACAGAAATAGGGAAGAGGAAATGTAGTGAAGGGCATACGTTGCCTTCTACCTTGATAAAGAAGATTAAAAGTGGCGGAAGTAATAAAAGTACACAAATCAAGGCACCAACTACTACTAATCGAGAATGTAAGTGATACAAGCTGATTTTTTGGGTTGATTACCTGCTCTTATTTACTTTACTGGGAGCTATCCTTTGTGTCGGTTATTGAAACTCAGACAATATTCCTATGAAGCGTCTACAATTTTCTAAGAGTATTGGAAATATGCCTAGTTTAGAACACCAAGATGTATTTTGTAAATTTTACTGTAGATCATTTGACATTTTTCAATCTCTGAAATACACGGGTCCATATGTCGACCTTTTGAGTTTGGAGATCTTGTCCATGTTCAAGCTCTTTTGTTTGAATGCTGACTTGTTCCTCGAGTTCCAAATAGATTAGAATCAATATAGTAGCTGCTATAAAGACTGCTACTCTGATTGTAGATGCTATACTCAAGGATAAACATTTAGCCATCAATGCTGAAAATGGAGAATTATCTGGATGTGTCTTGTTGCAGGCTTGAAGGAGTCAAACACTAATACAGTTTTAAATGACAATTCAATGGAAAGATTTAGCACACGTGAAATGGAGAAGTTCCCCTTCCTCAGAAAGTAAGTTCTCATTTCATTGCTTCAAGTTCATGTCCTAATGCAATCTAATATCTACATATATGCCTTGATTATAAATTTGATGTTGATTGGCTGACTTGATAAAAAAGGGACAGGAGAGATGCAAACCGAAGGCGCATTGGAGATGTCAATTATGATTCCAGGACTCTATATCTCCCCCCTAGCTTTTTAAAAGGTCTAACTGGTGGTCAGGTATATTTATTATTGAGAGTTGGTTGGAGCTTTTCAAAGTCTCTGTGTGAAGTACATAAAATATGTTTGTGATTTCTAGAGACAATGGTGGGAATTCAAGTCAAAACACATGGACAAGGTTCTTTTCTTTAAGGTACTCATTGAAAATACGGGTTATAGCTAAACATTAGACTTGTACTGTTGTTAGTTGAAATTGTAACCATACTTTGACTGTTGAGTCAGATGGGGAAGTTTTATGAGCTGTTTGAAATGGATGCACATGTTGGAGCCAAAGAGTTAGACTTGCAATACATGAAGGTAGTTAGATTTTACACTCCACGCTATAACTTAAGGTTGCATAAGTTTCAAACCAATGATAAGAGCTGGTTACTATTCATTTGTTTTCATTTTTTTAATTTTATCTACTGATGGCTTAATCTATGTTCTTTTGGTAAGAAATTTGAACCATTTTGATGCATGTCTGACCATTTTTTAAGGTCTCATTATCTCTTATCTGTGTAGGGAGAACAACCTCATTGTGGTTTTCCAGAAAAAAACTTCTCGATGCATGTAGAAAAATTAGCTCAAAAGGTTTACACTGTACACTCTAATTGAATACTGTGATAGTTATACCTTTTTGGCATTTTATATTTTCAGAGATGACATGATTTTATTTTGGTGTGTCTGGCATAGAGCAGGGTTATAGGGTTCTTGTCGTTGAGCAAACAGAGACGCCTGAACAACTTGAGTTTCGTCGTAGGGAAAATGGATCGAAAGACAAGGTCCATACTTGTGGGCCCTAAATGTTTTTTATTGTTTAGTGTAAATACCTTTGTCCTTTCCATCATCTCCGATGGAGCCAAAATTTCACTATTTTTTGGCTTTGGGTGTGATGGAATAAATCAAAATGGATCTCTAAACTATTTGCGCTTCTTTAATTAATGAAGTAGCAGTTACTCAAGCAATGCAACTTTCGACGTTGAGCCGGGGGTCTCTTTGGAAACAGCCTCTCTACTTTCGAGTAGGGGCAAGGTCTGCGTACACACACCCTCCCCAGACCCTACTCTTGTGGGATTTAACTGGGTTGTTGTTGTTGTTGTTGTTGTTGTGTAAATACCTTTGTAACCCAACTCCTTGTACAATTCAATGGAACCTATTATTAATACAATGATTTCAATTAATGCCTCCCACTTTATTGTTTGTTTTCATCACACTTTCAGCTATGCAATTGGCTACCACCATCTTAGCTCCTAATTTTTCAATTTCAATGGTTAGACTACTTTCGTTCCAAAGTATTCATTCGGTTTGACTTTTTTCTGTCAAATAGGGTGGACTTTGATAATTAATTAAATAAAAATTGCTTGGGAGGAGGAGTATTTCTTTGCAATTAATTAAGAAGAGTCACATTTCATTGATCAATAGGTCGTGAAGCGTGAGGTATGTGGAATTATCACAAAAGGAACATTAACTGAAGGTGAAATGCTCATAGGGAACCCTGATGCGTCATATCTTATTGCGGTGAGTGAAAGTAACCAACAGGGACGAACTTATGGGGTTTGTCTGGTTGATATTGCTACGAGTAAAGTTATCCTCGGACAGGTATGACATTATCATTACATTTTATGTTGTTTTGTGCTATAATTTGTAAATGACAAGAGGTGACTTCAAATATCACCTTAATATGTAGTAGATATAAATTATTGAAACTGTTACTATAGTACTGCATATGATGGGAAAAAAATTACCTAATATACTTCAGAGTTGCATGACAGTTCCCTTAAGTTTCAGATATCTAGTCATATTCATCTCAGAGCTTTTGAAAATCGAATGTTAAAATTGTATTATGGACCGACTAAATCATTCTTGCCAAATTTTAGTCATCGACCACTTCGGCATGGTCGCTTGACTCCTGTTGTGAAGGTATGTGATAACTGATAAATATTTCTCTTTTTACTCTGGAATTGATTTTTTATGTCTTCTTTCATTCAACACTAGTCTAGTGTTTTTTTTAAATAAGTTGAGTGGCTGTTTTTTTAATTATTTTTGCCTTTTTTTTGAGCATGTCTAGTTCATTTTTCTTATCTTTCCTCGCCTACTTTATGTTTCTTTCTGTGTGCTCTCTGCTTCTCTGCTACTCGAGTTGGGGGTCTCTTGGGAGCAGTCTCTCTACTTTTGATTAGAGGTAAGGTCTGCGTACACACACCCTCCCCAAACCCTACTTGCGTGGGATTATACTAGGTTGTTGTTTCCTTTTTTTCGAGCATCCTTTCTTTCATTTGCATATTTTTCCAATACTTTATAAGGCACTTGGGTTTAATGTGTTTTCTTCTTTTGGCTTTTTTTCTTCTTAAGTAGTATCAATTTGATTTTTTTTCCCTCTCAACCGTCTCTCAAGCTATATATGATATCTATTACTCCTATTTTGGTAGGAGGGTGGTATGACTTTTATGAGATAGGTAATGACTTCTTTAGTTGTGTGCAAATGAAGAGGAAGTAGAGTGAGGTAGAGTTAATTGGGAATGCTAAATATATTCATGATAATGGTTCATTTATTTGGTGAAGTTCACACCGCATTTCTTATTCGTTGTGTAAGAAGGTATTTTGATTTTTGATTCCATCCTTTGTAAAATCTTCCTCTCCATTCCTCTTTGTTAGTTCTTATCCTTTCGTTTTTCTCATGCTCAATTTGATCTTTGATTTTGATTTTCATATCTGGAATTTGATTTTTGACTTCTTAGTTATATTTCCCATGTTTGCCTTTTTTTGGGAAATTTGGAAAAAGTTTTGTTAAAATAAAAAAACATTTACGAATGAATCGACATTGAAAAAGAATAAAGAGTATCACTTATTGACGGTAAGATTATAGAGACAAAGAACGATAGCTAGTAAAGTTGAGAAATTTGTGAATACAAGGGTCTAAAAGTATGAAAATGGCCTTTTGCATATGATTTTTAAGTATGAAAATAGCCTCTTTGAATATGATTTTTAAAAGTATTATTAAGCTGAAGCCTTCTATAGTACTCCCTCCGTTGAGGAAAAATCTTCCCATTACGCGTTGCAAGTCTTGACAGACTTTATCTTTAATTCAATTTATTTGATTGTAGGTGTACATTTGATTGTAGATGTAAAATTAAAAAAAATTGAATTTATATAGTAAAATACTACTCAAAAGTTCTACAAAACAAAATGAGACATGACTATTATTTTATAAAATGAGTAGTGAAAATAAGCAAACAAAGTGATATTTGAATAAAACACAGAAAGCACACATGTAGAAGCCACATACTACACTTTAAATGCACCCGAATAAACTACAAACTAAAGCCAAAGGTATACACAACTACTCTTATCCTAGGTTTCTAGATGTTCCTATTTAAGGTCATATGCGCGTTGAGATCCTGAAGTCGTAATTCCTTTCTAATCACCTCCTTCCAACTCTTCATAGGTCTACCTCTACCTTTTCTCATGCCCACTACCGCAAGCCTCTCACATCTCCGCACTGGGGCCTTAGTGCTACTCCTCCTTATGTGCCCAAACCACCTCTCTTTAGCTTTCCGCAGCTTATCCTTCACAGTTCCACTCTCACTCTTCCCCGAATATTCTTGTTCTGAATAGATGCATGACCACACATTCACCTCAACATCCTCATCTCTACCACTTGAAGTTGATGAATGGTTTTCTTCCCGTAGCACTCCTGCTCAAACACAAATACGAAAGACAAAGGTTAACACAATCCAAAAAATAAAAGTAAACCAAAAGGGGTAACCAAAGACTTCGAAAGCAAAAGTAGATATTTCACTCCCATGAAAGTTATTTCAAAATATCTTAGGGGTCAATGTAATGCCTAGTGTACCTTGGTGAAGTGTGACCAGAAGTCATACAAGATTAAGTGACTTAGAACAAATCTATTAATGGAAACCCCACTTTCTTGTTCTAGCTTAAGACCTCCATATTCATTTTAGCATTACATACACAAAACCAACCAATTACTTGTTTTACATAAACTCTTAAACACACATTTACAACTATAGAAGTGGTAAGATGTGAAAATTTGTAGCATTATATGGATTTCACAAGCATTCTTATCATTTGATTGCTGAAACTAATTTCTACATCTGATTGAAAAATGAATGGATGTGCTGTAAATTGCATGATTATTAATATATTTTATTTAGCCTGGAAAATAGCCTTTAATAATTTGATATGTAAAATGGTCTTGTTTACTTAATGGCCATTTCTGTTTGAAATGATCTGAAATTGTCTTACATCAATGACCAGATCTGATTTTCCTTCCCAGTTTGCAGATGATCCGGATTGCAGTTCTCTCTGCAGTTTATTAATTGAGTTTAGACCAGTGGAAATAATAAAACCTTCCAAGTTGCTTAGCCCTGAAACTGAGAGAGTACTTCTTAGACATACAAGAAGTCCACTAGTGAATGACTTGATTCCCCTTTCTGAGTTCTGGGATGCTGAAAAGACAATTTCCGAAGTTAAGACTATGTATCAACGTCTTAATAATACAACGGTTCCATATTGTCAAGATGAATCAGATAGGGATTGCATTGTGTCAATTCATAAGGATGCTCAATTAGGTACTTTACCGAGTGTGCTGTCTGAGCTTGCTAATGTGGGTGAGAAAGGGATTCATGCGCTCTCAGCTCTAGGAGGAACTCTATTCTATTTAAGGCAAGCTTTCCTGGATGAGAGTCTACTCAAGTATGCACAGTTTCAGTTGCTCCCCTTTTCTGGTTTTGGTGAAATTTCTCAGAAACGATATATGATTCTTGATGCTGCTGCTCTTGAAAACCTTGAGATATTTGAGAATAGCAAAAACTGTGGTACTTTAGGGTAATATATTGGTTTTGTTGTTTAAATTTTTTCAATGTTGCTGGAAGTTCCGTCATGATTTCCAAAAGCTCTACTTGTGTAGGACATTGTATGCTCAGATGAATCATTGTGTGACAGCATTTGGGAAAAGGCTACTGAGGACATGGCTTGCAAGACCTTTATATCATCTGGAGGCAATTAAAGAACGACAGGATGCAGTAGCCGGACTAAAGGTGTTCTTGACTTCCGAACTTGTTTCAATCTCTGTTTTCCATTAGTACAATAGAATGATAGTGTCGATTGTATATCTTTTCTTTCTTGTAACTTGTTTCTTTGCTGATAAACATATTTTCTTTTTGTTACGATATACTCCCTCGTCTCAAAATAAGGTTCCCATTCCCTATATTCACAAGGTCAAACTATATCCTCTTTTTTACACATTTTCAGTGATTGTTTAAGAAAAGAAACGAGTTAAGTCACCACATGTTTGTAGAACTTTAGATGTAGTTTTTAAATATACTCCCTTCGTCCGGGAATGATGTTCCCAATTTGACTTTTCCTCATTTTTTAGAGGGCTTGAAAAGGGCTATAGAATGACTAAAATATTCTTGTTTAAATAATGGGGGAAAGGGGTAATAACCTGGCCGAGAATGAAGAAGTGGAATGCATTGTTTATAATCATTACTTAATGTATGCGTATGTTACATCAAATCACAACTTACATCACAAAAATCTCCAAAATGAATTCACATTCCCTCCTAATTTTTTAATCACCTGCCCAAAAAAGCTCTAAAACCCATTCAAAGGGTTTATTACAACCATTTAAACCCCCCAGGTCTTTTCCTTTTTCAGCAGCCCCTTCTTTTCTTCATCATGCTCTTCCCCTCCTCTTCTTCTTTATCCCCTTCTTCATTTCGTTCCTTTTTCTTTTTTCCTCTTTCATTCCCTTCCTTGCTATGCAGCTTTTCCCTGCATATATAAACCATAATGAACCGTGAGATTAACACGAAGAACTTGGACAACAACATAAGGCAACTCATTAGTGATGCACTACTATCACATTCAAAAAGAATCCAGACGGTTCATTCTCAGCTTAGTATGGGCAGATTAACAAACTTGCTTCAAACTTTAAAGTTTGTAGGAAAACTGTCAGTAAAATCTGGGCTATTGCAAAGAAACAATTAGAGCAGGGGGCTGCCATTGATGTGAGTAGCCAGATTGCAGGAAATAGTGGAAGGAAGAGGGCTGTTATGGATTTAAAAGTTGTTGCAGCTGTGGAAGAGGACTAATCTGAGAGCATTAGCAGCAGCAATTGGGAAGCCTAAGTCAATAGTTCATGAGTGGGTAAAAAGAGGTATCCTTAGGAGCCATTCTAATGCTATCAAACCATACTTAACTGATGCAAATAAGATTACAAGGCTGAGGTTCTGTTTAGATCAGGTTGATCCTTACAACATGACCACTATGCCTAAGTTTAAAACATTTAACAATGTTTTACACATTGATGAGAAATGGTTCTTTATGTCTAAAACTTCCAAGAGGTTTTACCTTCTTCCAGATGAAGTAAACCCTTGCATGTAAATCAAAAAGATTTGTAGCCAAAGTCATGTTCTTATGTGTGGTTGGGAGACCACTTTTTGGGGAGAATGAAGAAGTGTTGTGGGATCGGAAAGTGGGATATTTCATTTCACAGAAAGAGTCAAATCTAAAATGAATAGCAAGAACATGGCAAAGGGGGAGGGGGAGGTGAAAGCAATCACTAGTATTACCATACAAATCACAAAAGATTTGCTAATCAATAAAGTCATTCCAGCTATCCAAGAGAAATGTCCATCACAGTTATCCAAAGAAATACACATCCAGCAAGATAATGCAAGGCCACACATTCAAGGAATAGGCTCAGACTTTGTGGCAGCAGGTAACACCAATGAATTTCACATCACTCTAGGTAATCAACCCCTCAACTCCCCTGACCTAAATGTGTTGGACCTTGGATTTTTCAAAGCAATTCAGTCTTTAAAAGAGCAATGTGCTCCAAACACAGTGACTGAATTGTTAGAGGCAGTGGAAGGAGCATATAGTTCTCTAAGGCCTGAAACCCTAAACAAGGTGTGGTTGAGTTATCAGCAGGTATTAACTAAAGTCATGGAATATGAAGGAGGTAACAACTACATGCTGCCACATATGGGAGAAGACGAACCTTCCTAAGTCCTTGACCATAGACCTAAGCCTAATTCAGAAGACAGTTACACTACTTGGACAAAATGGGACTAGCAATGCAGACATGGGTGAGTTTAACACTGAAGAGGGAGAGGAAAACCTATCTTCAGAGTTGAACTGAGTCCATGGGTGTAAGAAAGCTTGTTTTTTTGGTTTTTTCTTTTTGTAAGTGGTTACCATATTTACTTTTGGGGTGTTACTTTTTGTAAATGGTAGCCACATTAGCAGATTACTTTTTGCTTTTTGTAACTACACACAATCTGCTCTATATGTAACTTAAATGTAACATATGGTTTTCATAAGCTCTTTCCCACATCATCATTGCTCATTCCTGCACTTGGTAATACACTGCCATATATGCACTCACATCAAGGTAACTACACACAATCTGCTCTATATGTAAGTAATGTAACTTAAATGCAACATATGATTCTCATAAGCCCTTTCCCACATCATCATTGATGATTTTCAGACATTTGGTTCTTAGAGTCATTCCATAATTACAAAATGCTCATCACAGTACATAGTGTTTCTCAGACAATGCAAGTTGCAGTCCTCACAGAATGTGACCAAAGAAGGAATACATGCACACACACTTTGACACTGAATGATACACCTGAACCATTTAAGTGTATGCAATGGTGGTACTCAGAGCCATTTTAGGAATTCAAAAAGCTCATCATAGTACTCTATTCTTCTGAGACAGATGCAAATACCAATCATCATAGAAGTTTGGCAGGCAATATAGGCATGACAGTAGACACTTAGCATATTTTATATGTACATGCTCAACACAATATTTACTTACTCATCATTGAATTTGGGGAAATCATATCCTAGAGGCATCAATGTATAACATACACATACACTTTGACATTGAATGATACAGTTAAACCATTTAAGTGTATGCAATGGTTTTACTCAGAGCCATTTCAGGAATTCAAAAACCTCATGATAGTAATCTATTCTTCATAGACAGATGCAAATACCAGTCATCATAGAAGTTTGCCAGGCAATATGGGCATGACGGTAGACACTTAGAGTCTTAGACAGATGCAAATACCAGTCATCATAGGAGTTTGCTAAGCAATATGTTAGAGGTTGAGGCAGGAGACATCCACACAGACATTCAACAATCAAAAGTTCAGGAAGGCAAAATGGTCATCAAAGTACACACTTAGCATATTTAAAAAAACATGCTCATCACAGTTTACACTTAATCATCATTGAATCTGGGCAATTAAGATCATAGAGGCATCAATGTATAACTTGCACATTGTCTTATCAACATAATCAAAGGTTCAGAATTCAAGGCATAAATAAACCAGAAACATTTGTAAGGAAAGGAAAGTAACTTCCCTACTTGTATGTTGAGGCCCAAAAGTTTGGATCTGGACTGGGCATTAATATATTCAGCATGTCTAAGTGGAGGTGCATGCTTGATTTCATCAATGGCAAAGTCAGATTCTCAAGAATTTCACTGCCAGATTCATTGCTCGAAATAAAAATTACACAATCTTCCTCATCAACAACGTCGATTACCACCTTCTTCTCTCTGACCGGGGCAACATCGGCATCGTCGTCACTGTGGTTGACGATCACCTCGTCCTCCTCCTTGGCGTCAGAGATTAATGTTTCGTAAATTTCCGAGGAATCCTCACATCCACCTTCTTCAAGATCCGTCTCATAAACAATGGAATCGTAAAGAAAGTCATGCGATTCCATGAAATGGGGCGGAGATCTAGACAATTTGGGGAGGAAGAGAGTAATCTAGGGTTGGGAATATAGAAGATGGAGCGACAAATAGATGAGATTAGATGTTAAAGGCGAGACTGAATGCGAACGGTTGGGAGGGGGTGGGTAGATAGGATTGGTTTTGGTAGATGTGAGGATATTTAATGAGAGGGGTATTTTAGGGAGATTTGTTATATAAAAGTAGAATGGGAACATCATTCCCGGACAAAAAAAAAGGTAGAGTGGGAACATCATTCCCGGACGGAGGGAGTAAAAATTTTATGTTTTTAACTCTACACAAAATTTTCAGTTACATTGAATTGAACATAACTTCAGTCAAACAACATAAACCAAAACAAAAACCTTAATTTGGGATGGAATATATTGTTTGCATTTGATTGGGCTTAAAAGGTTTTCACTTTTGGATGATTTGAGGTGTTCCTATCTGCTTATAACTTGTAGGGTGCTAACCTACCGGCCGTACTTGAGTTTAGAAAAGAGATATCACGACTTCCTGACATGGAAAGGCTACTTTCCCGAATATTTGCTAGCAGGTGAAAATATTCAGTGGTATTGAATACAATGACTTGATTAGCTGAATTTTAATCATTCCAATAGATATCTCCTTAATTTGTTCTGAATTCAGTGAAGGTAATGGGAGGAATGCAAATAAAGTGGTATTATATGAGGATGCTGCAAACAAACAGCTACATCAGTTCATCTCAGCTTTAAGAGGTTGTGAACTAATGGCGTGTGCATGTGCCTCACTTGGCTTAACTTTGGAAAGCTCAGATTCAAAGCTATTACATAATCTTCTGGTATCTGGTATGCCTAGATTAGCTATCTAATCCTTTTTGTAAGTATGTTTTGTTTGTCGATATCATATTTCTTAATATTTTTTGCCAACCCCAAGTTATGTGGGATATGGCTTCATTGTTGTTTTGTTATCATATTTCTTAATACGGGAATCAGATCAAAACACAACCAAGTACGAGAGGTTATAAATGTCGCCGAAGTATGCTCGAGTACGAGAATCTTGATGTATTGTTATATAATATATTGAAAATAACTTTGTCATAAATTGGGAACTAATTTTTGAGTTTTAAGATTTATTAAATCCGAATTTGATATTAAAAATATTTTTACATGCTTAAAAGATATTATACTCCCTCCGTCCCTGAGTATTTGTCCAGTATTCCTTTTCGGGACGTCCCTCAGTATTTGTCCACTTTCCTTATATGGAAACAAAAATTAAATGAAAGGTCTAGTATACCCTTACACCCAAATGTGTTGCAAAGGTCCAAAAGTCTCTCTCACCTATCATGTTTTCCATATTTTCATTCCCCCTAATCTCTAATTCCCAAATCCCCTCGTCTTCCTCTCATCTTTCATCTCTTTTCTCCATCTTCATCTCAAATTCACCTTCCTCTCTCATCTCCATCTCTGATTTTTCTTCCTCTTCATCTCCTTCGATTCCCCTTCATCTCTCAGCTCTCATCTCCAATTCTTCTTCGTCTCTCTCTCTCTCACATCTTCAAAGTCAATAGTTGATGAGAGATGGATGTGTTCCTCGACGGCGAGCTGGAGCAGATTGGAGCCGGACTTCTTCTCTGCCACCTACGATGACTAGATGCATTTGAAAGGGATCTCTTCTCAGGATCTAGATCCCCTCCACCTAGATTTCTTTAAATCTAAATCTAAAATGTTTTCTCACAATTTTTTTTAATTTGCTGTGGATTGATTGTTAGAGCTGTAGTTGGAAGCTGGATTGATGGAGGTTTATGGGGTGACGATGAGTTTGGAGTCTGGGTTGCTAAGCTTTGTGCGGCCCCAATTAACGCAAGAAGACATAGGGGCTTTGGGTGGTGAATTGAAAGCAAGCTAGATAAGGTTGAGGGGTATTTGTGTCTTTAGACACCTTATCTTGGTTATTGTGCCACTTTGAAAGTGGATAAAAATTGAGGGACGGAGGGAGTATTTGATAAAATATTATTTTCTCAGTTGTCACACATCGGTGAATCTTTAAAATACTTCTTTCATAGATAAAAATATTAACAAAATCATCATATTCAAAATCGATATTAAAATTTAAAAATATTTTCAAAGGCCCAGGAAATATTCTTTTTGATAAATTACAATTTTATGGAGGATTCATGAAAATATTTTTAATATCATGTATTCATATAGGATTACCAAATCTTAAAAGTCACAAACAAATTTTAGATCTGCAAAAAACCACATAAAACAGGTCTGTGCCTAAATAATATTTTTTCGTTGGTAAAATTTAATAGTGATAAAACCAATTATGAATCAAGTAGGGACACATTTTTTGTGGACATGATTTTAAACCAAACACTGCCAATTATGAGAAATTAGACAATTCCCATATGCTTTTACAAGGAGGTATTTAAGTGGATTTTTGTATTCTGCCATGTTCTATATTGGCCAATTTCATACTTCGCTGTGTTTATGTCCAACCACTCATTCTTTGATGTTTACAGGTAAGGGACTTCGAGATGTCCAACTTGTTATAAAGCATTTTAAAGATGCTTTTGATTGGGCGGAAGCAAAGAGTTCAGGTCGTATTATTCCTTGTGAAGGGGCTGATGAGGAGTATGATTCTGCCTGTGAATCCATTAGGAGTGTTGAACTTAATCTGTTGAAGCACTTGAAGACACAACAGAAGCTATTTGGAGATCCATCGGTAAAACATGGTTATGAATTTTTTATCATAAAAATTGATGATACTACATCAACTCCTCAACCTATAATTTTCTTTCAGATTGTTAATATTCCTTCTACATATGTTTATTGTTTACTTTTGTATGATGATGTAGATAAAATATGTCACAGTTGGAAAGGATTCATACCTTTTGGAAGTGCCAGAGAGTTTGAGCCAGTGCATTCCTCAAGAGTACGAGTTGCAATCATCTAAAAAGGTGTGTATCTGGCAGGTCTATTGTGCAGTCCTATTATATTTAGATTTTCAAATATAAAAACTACAGCCCAATATTTCAAAACTTTTGAAGACTTTGATGAGTTGATCAAGTATACATGAATCTTCATAATTGGGAGGGTTTCATTATTGAATTATTTACTTTCAACTACACCAACAACCGGGTGGAATCCCATGACAGTAGGGTCTGCATAGGGTGTGCTTACACATACCTTACCCCTACTTGAAAGTAAAGAGACTGTTTCCAAGAGACCCCCGGCTCAGGCAACACAGAAGGCACAGAGCACGAACAGATAAGCGAAGGGCGAATTACGAGGAAGTATTTCCTTTCAAATGGTTTATAATTCACAAAAGAGGTGGCGGGTTGGATGATGAAGGGGTGGAGGTTGGTTTTGAAGAGGAGTTTTGGAGAGTGGAGGGTGTTTTGGACGTGTAGGGGGGCTGTTTGGCGTAGAGAGGTGGCCGTACGAAAGAGTGTCGGCTTCTCTTTATTTGCGCTTCAACTTTAAGCACAAGTATAGTTATTTCTTCGAGGGTTTGGTATGGTTGGAGCTCCACAATATTTGCAATGTTGGTATTTAGCCCGAAAAGATATCGGACTAGGGTTTGAGAATCATCTTCTTGAAGGTCACATCTCATCAAAAGTTCTTCGAACTCCCGGGTATAGTCTTCCTCAGAGCGGCTCCCTTGCCTTAGGCTTTGAAGCCTAGCAAAATTTTCTCGAACATACTGGTCCGGGAGAAACTTCTTCTTCATTAGGCTCCTCATCTTGAGCCAAGTCTTTACGGGTGCCTTTCCTTCGCGTCTTCTTTTGGAGGTCAGGTTTGACCACCAAGTCGAAGCATACTTTTGTAGCTTCAAAGCAACTAATTTCACCTTCTTTTCTTCGGGGACATCCTTGAAGTCGAAGACACGTTCCACGGTTTCTAGCCATGCTAGAAACTCATCGGGATCATTCTTTCCTTCAAATGTCGGGATGTCAACCTTGAAGTCACTAGTTCCTTTGTCACAAGAGCTTCCATTAGTGATGTTGCTAGAGTTTCCAGTAGCTTGGACTTCCTCATCTAGTTCTTCATCACTTTCTTCGGGTGTGTCCAGCATTGTCATCTTCATCTTTGTAAGTTGAGCCACTTGCTTGGCTAGGTACTCAACTTGAGCCTTAAGGGCTGCATTAGAGGCTTGGAGCTCTTCATTGGACATGGTTTGAGATTGGTTTGACATGGTGAAAGGAGATGGCCGAAAATAGGGAAAAGAGAAAGGGAAAGGGGAAGAGTGTTCTTGGTCCTTAGAGATGTTGAAACAACAAGCTCTAATACCAAATGATAGGCACCAACTCCAAGGTAGAGAGGCACGAATGGCAGCAAGGTAGAGGGAGGAAATTATAAGGCTATATTGGTGAGGTTTTGTACAAGGAATGGAGGATTTTAAGTGAGGAAAGACTAGGGACGAAAAATTGGCAGTGGGGGAGGAATATTTTTAGGCTTTTGTTTAAGTGGAGAAGTGGAGAGAAAGGTGATATTAAGGTGATAGAGGGGAGCAGGCCGAATATAAGGGGGAAGAGAGGGTGAATAGCAGCTTAATATTTTCTTTGGGATAGATAAACCAAGTTGGTGTAAAAGAGATATTACACACTCTTATCCTCACTTGGGGTTCAATCTAGAATTTAATTAAGATATAACACACTTAACCAAATATCTAGAACCTAACACTCACACTTAAGGAAACCAACCTTAAGATATAGAAATTAGGATTTAAAATAACAAACACAATGGTTTTTTACTTAGAAGTGAAAGGGATACAATCTGCCTTCAAATGAGGCCTATGGCCGAAATAAATAACAAGGGAAAGGGGGAAATCACAAGCTTTGTTCCTTAATCAAATCACCAAAATATGACTTAATATGATGTGCCATAATGGAATGAAATAAGAGTGGATGGTAGTGTTTGTGGGGCTTGGGTATTTCGGCCAGTAGTAGGGGGAAGGAGTGAGGAAGCTAGGTTATGTTTTTGAGGAGATGTTTGGGGATTTGAGTGGGGGTGTGGTTCGGCCATATTAGGGGACAAAGGAGTGTGAGGTATATTGGCTACTTTGGTTTGTAATGGTGGTTAAAATATGGTGGTTGTGGAGTGGAAAGGGGCGGCCCAAGGGTGGGGTAAAAAGGGGTGAGATATGGCTGTTTGTGATGGGTATACACGTCCCACATATCTCAACAAATGGGATGTTTTATTCCTGGTTTTGGAGTGTAGTTGTAGGGTTTAATNGTGGGGGTGTGGTTCGGCCATATTAGGGGACAAAGGAGTGTGAGGTATATTGGCTACTTTGGTTTGTAATGGTGGTTAAAATATGGTGGTTGTGGAGTGGAAAGGGGCGGCCCAAGGGTGGGGTAAAAAGGGGTGAGATATGGCTGTTTGTGATGGGTATACACGTCCCACATATCTCAACAAATGGGATGTTTTATTCCTGGTTTTGGAGTGTAGTTGTAGGGTTTAATTAGTGGTTAAAATGGGTGATGTGTATGCTGTTTGGGTAGGGGACAAAGGGGTCCATATGTTGGGGTTTATTATGGGAATGATATGGGTTGTTTTGGCTCTTGTGCTTCGGCCACACTTGAAGGGAAAGAGGTGAAATATTTGTGGGTCATTTTGATGAGTTTAATGGGATGTGTTTTTGATGAGAAAGGGTGGGGGTAAGGGGGGTACGGCCTGGGCAGAAAAGGGAGAAAGAAAATGGGTTGTTTGGGTTTATTTTAGGGTAAGGACAAGCCCAAGGAAATTATGGTTAAGGGTTTGGGTTTAGGAGGGGTAAATTCATTCCAAAAAGGATCGTAAGATTTAGTCATTAATCCGGTAATTTGTTTAAGGACTTTCGTAGGTACCGGGGGTATATCACATAGCTATTTTAATGCTAGACTTAAAGTCAGACAACTTTCCAATATTTTTTAGTATGAGATCAATGTAATGCGCAACACAAGTAGTCCAAAAAAGAGTTGATCTTTCTTCACATGTCTTTTGTAATTAGAGCCCTTTTGTATTAGAGCCGTTATTTGTCACAATTTGAACGACTTTATCTTTACCGGTTTCGTTAATGTTTTCTCAAGTCATCTAGCAAAGTGGCATCCTGGGTTTCACCCAACGCATCAACTGACTCCAATAAAAATGTGTTGTGAATTTTTCACAAGAATATTTATCAAATGCTAAGTTTGGTATTTGTCTATGAATTTGATGTAAGTGTGCAACCATGCTTGTTCCACAAAGAATTATTTCATGTCCTTATGTTCTATTTACCCCCATTTCCTTTACCCAATTTTCAAAATTAAGGACGATTTGGACACTTTCTCTTCTTTATTCATATCTTGGTTAATGTGCCAAAAAGGTGGACGGACACACTAAGACTAAAGATGTGTATTTTAGTTGTTTCATGAATGGGAATGCGAATAGCTGTTTGCGTTTCACATGTTGTGGCACCAAAATGAAAACCGAGGCCCATTTTGGCTTTACTCGGGGCTCAACATTGTGGGAACTCTAAGTAGTTATTCTTTTCATCTCAAATTTATCTTGTATATTTCTTTCCAGTTGGGTCTCACGTGGCACCAAAATGAAAAGTGGGGCCGTTGTGGCTTTATTCGGGGCTCAACAGTTTGGGCACACTAAGTAGTTACTCTCTCCATCTCAAGTTAATCTTCATATATTCCTTTCCAGTCTATTTATTAATAATCTCATTTATTTTTAAAGAAGAATCTGGCTTGCCATCCCGTTGTACTTGTCTCTGCCATCCCAATGTATTTGCCCACTTTTTATTTCATGCGAACAAAAACATGTAATTTTCTATTTATCCCTAGTTCATTTACCCGCTTTTCAAAAGTTAAGGACAATTTGGACACTTCCTCTCTTATATTCTTATCTTGCTCAATGTGCCAAAAAGAAAGTGGCACCAAAATGAAAGTGGGATCTGTTTTGGCTGTATTTGGGGCTCAACTTTCTGGGCGCACTAAGTAGTTACTCCCTTCATCTCAAATTAATTTTCATATGTTCTAATATTCCTTTTCAATCCATTTTTAAGAATCTTTTTTCCTTGTAAAGAATTATTTGGGTTGTTGATACCTTTTTCTTTTTCGAATATATGACACATGAAGATTAATTTGAGATGGAAGGAGTAAGAATATAAGATATAAGTGATGCATGGAAGATTCATTCCTAACGCTAAAAATTGGATACTCAGGGTTATATCCGGTATCGGAATCCAGTCATAAGGAAGTTAATGGTAGAGCTTTCTCAAGCTGAAACAGAGAGAGAGTCCAAGTTGAGAACCATTTTACAAAGGCTTATAAGGCATTTTTGTGAACATCATAGTAAATGGAGAGATCTAGTTTCTACTATTGCAGGTGAATATATTTTCCTATAATATTTAGTATTTACCCTTATCTTCATTTGTTTACCCTTCTATAACATTGATTGTAAAATGAATATGCTATGTTTGCCAAAAATATCTTTTAATTTTGAGCGTGTGAGGGAGCCTTTTGCCATTCTCAATTCATAAGTTATGCAGCCTTCATGTCTTTTCAAGTCCCATCATTATTTTAGTTGGGTTTATTATATTGAAGGAACTTTGTTATTTATTTCACATTGAATATCTCGCATTATACTCGTCTCAAGGTTTGAAAAGGCGTTGCGGCTCATGCCATAGGGTGATCGGCTGTTATTGCCACTCCACTTCGCCTCTAAACGGGCTTGAATAGTTTGTCGCAACAATGCATCAAGTCAAGTCACAAGCAAACCCACTAGCACACTAGGTTTATTTTAAATACGGAGTATTTTGGTTTGATTCATTATACAGGGAAACTGGATATCCAAGCCTTTGTCCTAGAACGAGGGAGAATTGAAGGCTAATTAGTGAATACACATATTCCAGACAGGGTTGTATCAAAATGATGAAACCGGGAAATAATAGCGTGGATATCTAGTTCTGCACTAATTCAAGGCAGGATCAAGTGATCTTGTTTCCATCCTATGTGTAAGATCTAGATCGTGATATAGTTAGATCATACAATGTACCCTACGGTATTTGAAATCAAAATCTAGATCTTATGACATCATTTATGATCAAAATATAGAGCTTGGCATCCTTTTTACCGACTGCTTTTAGGAAAAGCACAAATCATAAAACAAGAGTGAAGGAAATCATTGGGATTGATTTCCCAATAAATCATAGGAATGGATTTTTCAATAATCTTTGATTGCTTGTTAGACAGAAGGCCCATAGAGCATCCATTTTGGGACCAAACATGATATTTCTCAATATTATTATATCATTTAAATTTTCTTTTAGTAGTAGTTCAACAAGTTCCATTGGAAGTGTAGAAGACCAATGTTGGTGTGTTATGTTTTCAGATCTGGATGTGTTGATCAGTTTATCCATTGCCAGTGATTATTATGAAGGGCCTACATGCCGCCCACATTTAAGGGAACCACCCACTCACAATGATGTGCCATGCCTTGTTGCTAAAAGCTTAGGGCATCCTATCATTAGAAGTGATTCTCTAGATAAAGGAGCATTTGTCTCCAATGATGTAACACTTGGTGGTACTGAACATTCAAGCTTTATCCTGCTGACTGGCCCTAATATGGGAGGAAAGTCTACTCTTTTGCGCCAAGTTTGCTTGGCTGTGATTTTGGCACAGGTGATTTGAGAACAAATGTTGCTCTTTTTGGTGTGTTTTCTGTTATGACTTAGCTCACTGTTCTTTGCAGGTAGGGGCTTATGTACCAGCAGTATCCTTTGATCTTTCTCCTGTTGACAAGATCTTTGTTCGAATGGGTGCTAAAGATAATATTATGTCCGGTCAAAGTACATTTTTAATGGAGCTCTTAGAAACTGCATCTATGCTGGTGAGATATCATTCTTTGTAAATGCAGTTTATGTTTCGTGACGTCATGAGTCCTGGCTGCAATTCATTACTTCTTAGATAGTAGATACACATATGCTGCCAAAGACCTTGTGGTCAAGTGGCAAAAATATGGCTCTTCCAAATGGGAGCTCAAAGGTTCAAATTCCAGAGGGGCGTTGACTCTGTGCTTTAGTAGGTTGTAAAAAGTATGTATGAACGGATATTACATTGCTAGAGAGTAAATAGTGCGAAAAACAAGATACATATATGTTGACCCAAGGTGGATGCATTATGTACTTCATTAAACCCAAGGTTTTGTTAAAAATGTCTTTTTGAAAAATGGTGAGTTATCATTCTTTGTAAAATGTGAATGCAGTTTCTCTTTCCTTATATCATGAGTTTTGACTGTATTTCTTTACTTCTTAGATACGTATAACCCATTTCGAAAACAATGTTTTTTCTATAAATTTGTGAAGCCTTGCATTATTCACTCTATTCAGAAAAATACTTGTCCAAATGAAATCTTTGACTATTGACTGGCAAAATGGACTGCCCCTGAGCTTCTTTCCCTTGTTTTGTGATGCTGCATTTGCCTATGTATGTATGGTTGAATTTGGTTTTGTTTGGTTTTGAAGTCGGATATTTTGGGTATATTTCCTTTGGTTTCTTACTCCCATTGATGATAATTTAATCCGTGGGTATTGATTTCAACCTAGTTCTTTTGGTAATTACAGTCATCTGCAAGTCGAAACTCACTCGTTGCACTCGATGAACTTGGCCGAGGAACATCAACATCTGATGGACAAGCAATAGCGTAATGCGAATCTACATTATATATATATATGTGTGTGTGTGTATGCATGTATGTATGTATGTATATGTATGTATATATTTATGTGTGTGTGATGTGTATGCATATATACATATATATACACACACACACAGATATATATATATGAGATTGATTCCAGTAAGATGACCCCTTATGGTAAGATGATATTTTACGCTCAAACACTGATCAATGCAAAGCTCACTAAGGACAACTGCTAAGCTCACCAGAATGTATGGAAAAGCTTACCATAATTTTTTCACACTTTGAATTTTCTATATTTTGAAGTTTCAATGCTCATAAACCCTACCAACAAAGCTCACCAATCCTCACTGTAAAGCTCACCGAGCACTCACACAAAGCTCACCAAATTTTGAATTTGAAAAATAAAAAAAATCAAAGGGTGACTTAGACCACCATTGACCGGGAACCGGCGACGACAGCCGACGGCGACGGTCAAGGGTCAAAGTCCTATTGTCAACATGAATCGAAGTTAAAGTCAATACCTTCTCCTTTGATTTTTTTTCTTTTTTAAAATTAAAGTGTGAAAATTTTATGCCGAGCGTTGCCATACATTCAGGTGAGCTTTACAGTTGGCAGTGGTGTGCTTTGCCTCATTGGACCGTGGCATGTCATTTGACTAAAACCTGTCATCTAATTGGAGTCTATATGTATACACATACCTACATATATATACATACACACGCACACACATACATACATATATATACTTACATACATACATACATACATACATACATATATATGTATATATATATATGTGTGTGTGTGTGCGTATGTATGTGTGTGTGTGTGTGTGTGTATATATATATATACACACACA